TGTGGGAGCATGGATGCCCAGGACTGGATCATGTTGGTCTTTAGATTTTGAATACAACTTTGTGAGCATAGTGTTTGACAGATAGTTAATTGATCTGGAGTGAATTACACTGGACAGATGTAAGTGGGGTGGGGACACCATGCTTCCCGTGTCATGTCTGCACTTCACCTAGTGACCCACGAGCTTCATATGTCTCTTCATATGAATCAGAAAGTCCTGCCCTGTGGTGCTGTGAGGATTTGCACATTGATGAGCAGAAATCACATCCAGATCCTGGCTGTCTTAGCTTTCTACAAACCAATGCAGGGGGTATTTTCTCTTAGGGCTTCCTTGAATTCATCCAATTTTAAGAAGCTTCTCCTGACCTGGATCTAACTCACTCAGCAAGGATAATGTCTAGAACCATAGCCATGCTCCTACAGACTTTCTTCCCGGGATGATTACAGTGTCTGCCTGAGACTCAGCAAATTATCACAGGTTCTGTTCATATAGGAGCTAAAGAGAGCGTCAGGTTACATTGTCACCAGTGTCTGGGATGGGGATCTGTTTTTCTTTTTTCCCTGAGACAGGGATTCTCTGTGTAGCTTTGTAGACCAGGCTGGCCTCAAACTCACAGAGATGCACCTGCCTCTGCCTCTGCCTCCCGAGAGCTGGAATAAAGGCGTGTGCACCACCACTGTCTGGCTGGGATGAGGATCTTATTCACAGCCTCTGGGATCTTCCCAACATCGAGGCTAGGCAGCTGACCATTCAGATTCCGACATCACAGATTAGAGAATTGAAAGAAGGTTAGTGATTCGTGTTCACAGTCACTCGCACACTCAGATGATGGCCATCTGAATTATTAAAGACAATCAGATGCTGCCCGGCTGAGGGAAACTTAAAGCTTGGCTGCTGCTTCTGGGAGCTCGAGGCCAACCTGTAAGCAGCTTCCTTAGATTATCTGCTGAGGCCTGGGGAAATGTTTGGAAGAAGCTGCTGGAGGAGTCTGAACTGTAACCCTATAAGGGAAAATATGCATGGCTACACTCGGGTGGTGGCTGCTTCCCTTCCTTGCCACTGGAGTACTGGGTCCCTTCAGCCCACGCCTGAGAATGTGCTCAGCAGATGAGGTCCTGCCAGGTGTGGTAACGCCCAAGAAAAGGGCCATGTCCCACTTAGGGACCTGCCACATTTCTCTTCAGTTCTAAATATGTCACAGAAGACACAGTTATTATTCAGGGACAGCATTTTTTTCCTCTGCAATTTTCTCTTTAAGGCACACCTCGGGGATCCTGCCTCTTAAGGAGACTAGAAATTCACTTAGTGAATTGGCCTACCACACAGAGCAGGTACCGGTCAGGCATCATGCAAGGCATTCCTGCAGAGAGATACACACTGTGGTTCCTGGCTTCAAGTCGCCTCCTGCCTGGGGGACAAGACAGACTATGAGCCCCTTGGTACAGCGTCAAGTAGAATGGAATGAGGGTATTTGGGGGTGTGTGTGGAGAGGTTAGCAGTTCTTATGTTCTTGGCCCAGTCTATGTTCAGTGACTGCCATTCCATCCATTAGGGTTCTGGGTTTCAGGGCTGGGGTGTCTGACAAAGGAAAGGCTCCCTGTTCAGAGATTCCTTCTCAGCCTGTGCCACAGGCCAGTCACCTGCTGTTTTTATCTCATTTCTGCCATTTCTGTTTTGGAGATGATAAGATTATGAGGTTCCCATGAGGAAAGAGCTTGAAAAATGCTCAGTTATTAGGAGGCCACTGGTTAGTGTGTGTGTGTGTGTGTGTGTGTGTGTGTGTGTGTGTGTGTATGCAGTCCTTGGACCAGGGTCCAGCAGAAAGAGTGGACTGCAGCCTTGAGAAGGCTTTCAGTCCTCTAAGGGAAACACTTGCAACTGAAGAATTAATTGCTCAGATCAAATTGGCTCTTGACTGTGTCTATGAGGCATTTCCTTAATTGCTAATTGAGTTGGGAGGACCCAGCCCCCATGGAAGTGCCATCCCTAGGTAGGGCTATTAGACAAGGTGGGAGTGGCCATTCCTAGGTAGGTGAACCTGGGCTGTAAGAATGGTAACTGAGTAAGCCAGAGAGTGAGCCACTAAGCAGCGATCCTCCATGATCTCTGCTTCAGTTCTTGCCTTGGCTTCCCTTGGTGATGGACTGGAAGGCATAAGTGAAATAAACCCTTTCCTCCCCAAGATGTTTTTGGTCTTGGTGTTTATCAGTTCAGCAGAAAACAAGCTGGGACTGTGGGTTGGACAGCTTTCCAATAGACTCTGTCTTAAAGAGCAATTTGCAATGTGCTGAGCAAAGTGAAGCTGGAGGGTTGGTCTTGAAGGACATGCCTGGAGCTAAACCTTCTGTGTTGTGGCGATAGACAGGGTTCTTTGAATGTTATCTCAAGAAGAGTTAATGTCTCTTTCGAAGAGAGCAGAATTCAGTGTCATGGTATGAAAGGAGAATTGGAAGGGCTCCTTCCTGGTCCACCTGTTTCGACTCCTGGTTGGGCTCCTATTTCTGCCTGAGTTAGCCAAGACACTCTCCTCCCACCTCTAGATGATGAGGCAGTGCCTGTCTCAGGGCTGAAGCAGGTGGCCCCAGCAAGCATGGGCACTCTCATTCCCCTGCGCCCCCCAGAATGATTGCCTTTCCTAGTGACCCAGGTGGGCCTTGTGTGCAGATGTTCAGCATCTGTGTTCTGAGAGAGGCCTTCTCTGTGTATGCCCAGGAGTTACCTCAATCATTCACCCTTCTCACTGCCGTACACAGGTGACTTCTTCAGGTCAAAGTGCGACTCTTGCTTCAGCTGTGCCCCACAAATGTTCCAACCCAGTCTCCCTTCACCAGGAGACCTGACTGTTGTCCCTGTAAAGTACTGTGCCCCCTGCTCCCCCGTGTCTTATAGATAACCCAAATATATCAAAGCCTCACTGTGATCTGAACAAGATGCTAAGTGCCCTCACAGTGACTTGGGTAGGCACAGTTTGCTTCTCCTATAAGAGCTGTCAGTGAATGTCCTGTGTCATTCCTCCAGTGATAATCCAGTGCCAGTGTTTTCTGTGTGGACTGTGCTTTAGGTTTCTAGAGGTAAGCAAAAAATAAGCCAGTTCTCACCAGTCGATGAGCTTTGCCCACTGTGCTGTGTCACTGGTCCTTAGCTAGCAGTTTAAAGATATTTGCTAATTTATCAGACACTGATCAACATTACATATTAACACATATTAGATAGGTTTAGGAAAAATATCATAATTTACCAGAACAAGAAAAGTAGAAAGAGACTTTGCTCACTCTATTTCCTGGTGTGTTTGACATCAGGCTCAGTGGAAGACAGCTGGGTTCTCCTCTATATTCAGACTGAGGGAAGACATCTTAATGATGCTAGCATCCTTGATCAGCCAGATAACTGATCAGTGGCCTTGACAGAAAATAGTGACCACTCTCTTTGTGCTATAAGCCTGGTGACTGGCATTTCTGATGCTATCTGGCTCTGGACCACAGGAGATGACATCAGGTCATTTTGCATTTCAGGTTGTCGGTCGCCCACAGTTGCTGTACAGTACCTGAGCTGTGCAGACAGCTTTCACTGTGGACAGGTGACATTGTGCAGCACCCAAATGCAATGTTTCTCAGAGTCACTCCTGACCTTGTTAGAAAAGCAGTCTTGGGGGCTGTTGCATTCACAGTGGCTGACACAGACTCCAAAATTCTTGCTGGACCCTCAAAAAGATCATTGAAAAAAAAAAAAACCCTATCAGCTGACGAGTGCAGTCAGCTTGTTTCTGAGAGGAGACTGTGAAGTGCTGAAGAGGTAGGCCTGGTGTATGGCTCAGTGCATGCCTAGCACACAGGAGGCTCTGGCTAGTAGCTGAGCAAAAAAGAAAGTGTGAATGAATACTTGTAGATGGCCCATTATTCAAATCAGGTGACACAGATGGCTGCAGGCTCTGTAGCTTGTACTCTAGACCAATGTGCTGCTGTCTGCAGAAGAGCTTCCTAAGCTACAGCAGGCAAAAGGACCAGTCTCAAGGGTTGAGACTTGATGCAAGCAATGGTTTTTGCAACCTGAGTAGTTTGAAGGATGTCTCAAGGGCACTCTTCAGGAAGAGTGGTTCTCAGCTGTGAGGAACAAACACTAATGAGGCTAGGTGCCAGCGTTCGAAGCTTAGTGTCAGTACTTGAGCCTAGGTGTTAGTACTTGAAGCTTTGTGCCAGTGCTTGAGGCTAGGTGCCAGTTCTTGTAGTTTTGTGCCAGTGCTAGAGGCTATGTACCCAGTGTTTGACATGTGTATGCATGCAGTTTCACCCTTGTATTTATTTGCTCCATCACTGCAGCAGTAGGAAGACAGGGTCTTACTGTTGTGAAACTATTGTGGACCTTCCAATCCTGCAAAGGGTTTTGGACTGCCCTGGATCTCACATAATCAGTTATAAATTGCTGATACAACCCAGCATTCCAGTCTTGTGCAAAATGTCAATGTCTGCCATCTTTTTATGGGAAAGGACACGTGAGGGGGGTGTGATCACCACGCGAACTTCAGCTTTCACTGCCCTGACACCCAGTATCCTTGCTGCAGTGTATGTAGCATCCCTGTCTTCCGGGTGATGGAGGCAGCTCAGGGAGCAAGTTGGGGCTGGGTTTTGTAACTTGTGTGCTGATGGCTATTTGAAAACTGATGTTTGAACTCTGACCTCTTTCTGGACACAAAATTCAGCATCGTGTGCTGACATGGAATAATGTCTACTCCAGGGCTGCTCCACCTGTCAGTTTTGGCTCTGGCTCTTCCCCAGTTGAGCTTTGCTGCCTCAAAGTGAGGGTGAAGGAGCCAGGAGGGTGAAGGGGAGGATCGTGAGTCTGTGGTGGGCCTGGCTTGCAAACTCACTTATCATGTTAGAATATAGAGTGCTTCATCCAGTGATCAGATTGAACATGAGGCACTGGAGTGAAGCTCACACTCCATTTGGCCCCTGCAAATCCTCAGCCTAAAGATGAGCCCCTTCCTCCTCCTTTCTTTCCAGCAATGGAAGAGTTAATAGTCGAACTTCGCCTTTTTCTGGAGCTCCTGGACCACGAGTACCTCACATCAACTGTCAGAGAGAAAAAGGCTGTGCTCACCAACATCCTGCTGCGAATACAGTCATCATCCAAGGGTGAGTCTTGAAGGCCACCGGGCGTCCTTGGGCTAAATTGCTAGGTTTCCGAACCCTCTTTAATTCTACTGCATTTCTAAACTGTATTCATTTCTTCTCTTCCATTATATCCTCTGACACTATCCGCTTCATGAATCCTTGCAGCCCATCTCCCTCCCCTTCCTGGTTATCTGGTCTGGTCTCAGGTAGACCATATAGTTAAGTGGAGAACATGATGCCCCCTTGCAGTATTGCTGTGAAGGATCATAGAGAATAAATATTTGCACCATTCTCTAGAGGGCTCAGGAAAGGCTACTGCTGGTATCTTCCTCCTCACCCACATCTGTGGTTTTGGTTAATCTCTACAGGCTTTGAAGTGAAGGACCATGCTCAGAAGGCAGAAGCCAACAGCCTGCCAGCACCTCCCCAGATGCCTCTGCCTGAGATCCCTCAGCCATGGCTGGTGAGTAGACATCTACCTACCGTCCACATTGCCTTGAAGGCCTGAGCTACTCAGCCTGTGATGGAAGCCAGAAGGTGAAAGGCGCTCCTGGCAGTGTGCTCCAAGTGTCCTGAAGCTGCTGATATCAGAAGGACCTCGAGTTTCTTGGTAGAATCCTGGAATCACAGGTTCTTAGAAATCTGTTAAGACATGAATGGGAATCAGAAAACACAGCAGGCAGAATCCTGTCTGCAGAACCCAAGGACTCCACCCACTTTCTATATGACCTGACATTCATTGCTATGTTCCAGGGTAGATTCTTGCTTTCTCCCTTCCCTCACCCAGAAAGAAAAATGTGCACATTCCAGAATGTACTCTTCAGTTGAGTATATGTATTTCAAATGGGTTCAGGACTCTCATTTTTGCTATTTATATTTTTTCAAACTGGAGATTGCTATCTCCCTTCAGCTCTTTCTGTATCTTTATATTCTGCAGCTTGCTTAATCAGGGGAATTTGACTTTCATGCAAATGATGGCAAAGTGATCACTTGGTTGCTTCTTTCTACACTTGCTTTGTCAGGTGTGGAGGTTGAGACAGGGTTTCTCTGTGTTTCTTTGGCTGTCCTGGAACCCTGTAAACCAGGCTGGCCTCAAACTCACAGAGATCTGCCTGCCTCTGCTACCTGCTTGCTGGGATTAAAGCCATGTGCCATCACAGCCCAGCTAGGTCATGTATTCTTTCTGCCAGGGTCTGAACTGGAAGAAGCAGGATCATGCCTTGTCTGTCTTCACAGCCATGTTTGTTACTCATGCTGTGACTACTTGCCCATGGTGCCCCTTGCACAGTGCTACACCTGTCTCTGACTTTACTTAATTTATGATTGGGCAGAGTGGGATGTTAATGACAATAATGAATACTAACAATAAACAGCAATTATAACAATATGCTGTAGTAAAAAGGATTTAAGTCTTAGTGGTTATTTATAGAACTTTACACATCATGTTTTTGATTGAATATAGACAACTAAGACTGAAGAATGTGGTAACCACAGATGAGGGGACAGCTGTATTTAATGCAGTCCTTTTGGCAAGGCTTCTAAGAACTCTAAAAGTTCTTAAAATTATAGCAGTGGTTCTCAACCTGTGGGTTGTTTGACCCTCAAAGGGATGACCCTTTCACAGAGGTCACCTAAGATCATTGGAAAACACAGATAATTTACATTGGGATTCATAACAGTAATAAAATTACAGTTATAAAGTAGCAACAAAAATAATTTTATGGTTGGGGTCACCACAACATGAGGAACTGTATTAAAGGGTTGAAGCATGAGGAAGGCTGAGAACCACTGATTTATAGCATGTGAGGTATGTGGCTACCAAGTTTTTGGAAAAGGTTTTTGAGGGTGTGTGATTTACTGAAGGTTACTTAATAAGCAGGAAAAGCAGAAATTGTTATCTGGCATGGCCCACAGGTGGGAGGAGCCTGTCAGGCTTGGGCTGGTTCCCTGAATGGGCTCCAGCACGTACATGTGCCATAGGGAGGTTGTGGAGGTCAGAGGACAACTTGCAGGAGTCAGTGTTCTCATTCCAGGATGTAGGATCTGGCTCAAGGGCATTGTCTTCACCTGTGGAGCCATCTTGCTGGACCATAAACTTGTTTTTAATTATTGCTTTCTTTTCCTTTCCTGTTGTAAAAACTTTTAAATTATCTTTTATTATTGTTATTACTATAGTATCATTTACTGTTTTTATCTACATGGAATCATTTCATGTAGATATTTCATGTAGAAATTTCATCAAAAATATTTCATTCAACACTGTTAATACTTTTTACTTGTAGATTGTTTTTCAAACTATGAGCTGGATGGAAATCAGTGGCCTACTATTTTCTGGTTTAAGTGTTTTAGTTTAGGCTTGTCTTGAACCTGTGGCACTCTGTAGCTGGCCAATGTGCCGTACCTTCTATTCCATCACACACGTTGTGTCTTGGGAGCATCTTAGGATTGAGGAGGAGGAATTCGTACTTAGACGCAGGCAGGAGAGTGGTGGTGGCTATAGGGGCTACATGGCTCCTCCTGTTCAGTCTCTAGCTGGTCTGCCCTGGACTGCATGTCCTGCAGGCCACCTAGAGGGACAGAGCCCAGTTTCTGAACAAGTGTTCTCACTGATGGATCAGTGCTTTGTGCCATTGCATTTCTGTGGACTTCCAATCCAGTCCATCCAGTGACAGGTTGGTTGCTCAGTACTTTAGAGAAGAGCCTGCCAGCCATGAAGAACATTTAGCATTATGTTACCACCAGTCTGGTCATTTTGCAGGACTGGATGATACCTTTGTCAACCCATGACAGTTCAGTGTTTGGCTAAGACTCTAGGACATTTTTATGAGGATTTTTGGAGGATAATGGGAGATAGGCACCTGTCTGTAGCCCAGGATGACTTTGGATTCACTGTATATGACAGGCTGGACTAGAATTCATAATCCTCCTGCCTTTGCTTCCCAGTACTGGGATCATAGTCACAGTCCAACATGCCTGTCTTTCTTAGGGTGTTTAGTGAAAATTGAGTTGTCAGTCAGTAAACTCAATTCAGTTAACCTTGGGCTCGCTTTTGTCCAGGCACCATTGATGTTGACAGACTGAATTTGTGGAGAGTTTGCTTCTTGTGAGATAAGGATTCAATGGGAAGGAGACCATACTGGGCAGAGGGGCCCCCAAATGAAGGTACAAACCCAAGAGTGAGCCAGATGTACCCAGATGTGAGTGGGTAGATGGTAGGATTTGGGTGAGTAATGCCCAGAGGAGGCCTCAGTGCTGGGCAAGCTGATGGGCAGGAGCTGTGAGTTTATCAAGAGGAAACATGATGTTTGTCTTAGTTTGCTTTCTGTTTTAGTGCTAAACACCATGACCAGCTTAGTGGGGAAAGAGCTGGTTTATGTGTCCTGATCATTGATGCATGGGGCCGGGGTGGGAGGGGGCTACAAAAACCCCAGTGTAGCATGTGACTTACACCATTTACCATTATTTCCCATGTTTGCAAACTGCTATTGTGTTCTGGTTTTTGCCTTTTTTTTTTTGTGGCTTGTAACATTGGACACTGCCTTCTGCCTGTTGCTATAAATATTTGTTGTGATAAAATGACTATGCTGTTTGTAGGGAATAATCTGGAAGACTTTGGAATTTTCAGCTGCAAAGCAATTGGATGCTCAGAGCTGAATGGGCCATTTTTTGTGGGGGCTTGGAAGATGGTGACAGTTAGGTGGACAGTGGAGTCTCCAGCTATGTTTGAGAGAGAAGCAAGGACTTGATCAGGAATTGGGCCAGGGGCCAGTCAAGTGATATTTTGACTAGGAATCTGTGTATGGTCATAATGTTCATAAAGAAGCAGCAGTCAGGCAGCTGCTTCCCCAGTGATCGACTGGACCCTGGAACTGAAGCCAAATGAAAACCCTTTCTTCTTCACATTGTTTTCTATCAAGATATTTTACCACAGCAACAGAAAGGAAGTTCATTACTACTTAAGATTATTTAAATAAGAATTATGTCCCTTTGGTGTATCTTTATACATCAGCAGTTACTACCTCTTGACATTTTTCAAGTAAATTAAAATCAAAGTATTCAAAAATGGTTTATGGATTTTCCTTCCTTCCTTCCTTCCTACCTTCCTTCCTTCCTTCCTTCCTTCCTTCCTTCCTTCCTTCCTAGACAGGCTCTCACTATGCAGCCCTGGCTGTCCTAGAACTCACAATGTAGACTAGGCTGGCCTCAAACTCACAGAAATCTGCCTTCCAAGTGCTTTTACATGCTGGGCCATCTTACTGGCCAGAATTCTTTTTTTTATGGTTGTTTAGATTTTTCCAGAAACGTTTGTTGAACTTCCTGAGCTTTTTTTTGTTTTTTTGTTTTTTTGTTTTTCTCTTACTGGCCCAAAGGATCTTCCTGCTGTGTTTCTAGAGGTGGGACCATGAAGTCTAACTAAGTGTGTCTCTTTGAAGGCTGTGTCCTCAATGACTTGACTGCATCTGTTCACAAACCCCACCCAGTACACACCAGTCTTTCTCACCTCTTTCCTACTCACGATTCTTGGAGGGAGGTCTGACCTGGATACAGACCGGCATCAGTTTGACTCAGCTCTTTGAAACAGTTCAGAGTGTGAGCTGTCAGTTTTACCAAGCTCGGAGGAAGGTGGAGTCCCTGCCTAATGCATGAAACACTCAGTGAATCAAAAAGCTCCCCCAAGCAGCTGCAGAATTCCAGTCTGGATGTTTAGCTTCCCCCAGGGCCAAGCACAGCATGCCAGGTCCCTTCTTAGGACAGTCCCCTAAAGAGGACAGAAAACTGTGGATGAGCCAGCATTGTCCCTGGAACAGCTCTGAAGTGCATCCCCTTTGGTGGTTGATGGCTGCCTACAAAGGTGGTCCTTTAACTTTAGGTAGATGGCAAGGATGGTGACCACCCAGGGAGCAAGGTAGGGATAGGAAGGAGCTGGAGGTGTTTCTGTAGGGAACAGGCCTGGCAGGTTGGGTAATAGTATTCAGCTAGCTGAACTGGGAATCAATCCTCTCCAGCTGCAGGAGGAGGAGGCAGGGTGGGCGTGCAGTGGCCATTAGTCACTCACAAAGGATTTTTTGGACTGAGAGTTAGTGGAAAGTGATGGAGTCACATTCTGGAGGGTTTGCATAAGAATGAAAACAAAGCCCATGATGTCAGTGGAGCAGTGTCCGAGCTGGATGGAGCTTGTTACTTCCTGGTTATTTACAGAACATAGATAGTGTGAATCAGCTATGCACAGAGGAGAGGGGAAAATTAGAAAAGGTCTTTAACAGATGCCAGGGTGTCTGAAAGCCAAACCATGGCTGGATCAAGTCTGATTTTTGAGCACCATGCTTTAGATTCTGGGCCTTGGTCTCTGCATCTGCACAGTGTGAGGCTACTTGGTAGCATTCCTACAGGGCTCCCATCCAGGATGACTGCTGTGACCTGTGAGCAGCGAAGCTGTAGTGCGTTGCCAGGCAGGGAGCAGGGGCCCTGGTGCAGCAGACCTCCTTCCATTTGTCCTTTTCTCTTGGCATAAGGACCAGCAAGAACGATAACCAGAAGGGTCCCATGGATGGGCAAAGAAGGGGCTGACATGAATAGTGGTCAGGAAAAGTTCAGGAAGAGGGGATCTGAGCTGCATCTTGCAGGCTGGTAGGATCTGGTTTCGACTGAGGCTAAGGAGCTCCTACTTCTTTGATGGTCTCACATTGTAGTGTGTATAGTGAGTAGAACAGCCTGAGTTTGTAGAAAATTCTGATGGGATGGTTTAAGTAAAGAACAGACTGCCTTCAGAGAGTGGCAGGCGGGAGTGGTTCATGGGTCTGTACTGCTTTAGCCCCATTGTCCAGCACTTTGAAGAGTACCTGGGAATGGGTACATACTTCCTCTGTTCTTGGTGCTGTCTGTAGGGGGCACTCAGCCTTGGAGAGTCTGGAGGGCATTATGAGAGTGAAGAGGAACACACAGACCCCATCTCAGCTGGAGAAGGGCTCAGAGGGCAAGTGTGAGTCAGCCCAAATGGATTTGGGGGCAGGCTTCTGATGGCTCACTGTGTGCCACTAGTGGTCAGGTGAATGTCTCCATGTGAAGGTGGACTCCCTTTAGGTACTGGTGGGACCTGAGTGGTCTGTGACCAGCCAGAGTGAGGCTGGGGTTGGATATGAGCAGGAAAAGTGGTGTAGGTCCTAGTGACCTTGAACCTCTCTATCGAGGAGATATTGGGTTGCCACACTGATCCAGCACGGTTTTCCTTTTGCCCTCAGCCTCCTGACAGCGGGCCTCCACCCTTACCGACATCCTCTCTCCCAGAGGGTTACTATGAGGAAGCCGTGCCGCTGAGTCCTGGAAAAGCTCCAGAGTACATCACATCAAGTGAGTGGCAGCCGCCCATCAGGGTGGTCCCTTCATTCACAGGAGTGGGTGATGAGCCAAGGCACTGGGCGTGGAGGGACAGGACTAAACATTGCCACAGAAATGTGGGTGCAATGGATCTGGGACCTAAGGAAGGCAATGAATACATCCATGGTTAGCCAGGCTCAGCCTTGTGCCACAGAGCCAGGTGTGGGCAGATGAGGTTCCCTGAGGTTGGGAGAGAAGTACTTTTTTTAAAATTTTAAATTAGAGACAAGCTTGCTTCACATGTCAATTCCAGCTCCCTCTCCCTCCTCTCCTCCCATGCCACCCCCCCCCCCCCCATCCCTCCATGTGGAATGGGCTCCCAAAGTTCATTCGTATGCCAAGGATAAATACTGATCTACTACCTGAGGCCCCATAGATTGCCAAGGCCTTCTCACTGACACCCACGTTCAGGGGGTCTGGATCAGTCCCATGCTGGACTCTCAGCCATCAGTCTGGGGTCCATAGGCTGTGGGTTTCACCAGCCTGGTTTTGACCCCTTTGCTCATCACTCCTCCCTCTCTGCAACTGGGTTCCAGGAGTTCAGTTCAGTGTTTAGCTGTGGGTGTCTGCCTCTGCTTCCATCAGCCACTGGATGAAGGCTCTAGGAATGGCATATAAGGTAGTTATCAATCTCATTATCGGGGAAGGACATTTAAGGTAGCCTCTCCACTGTTGCTTAGATTACCAGTTGGTGTCATCCTTGTAGATCTCTGCTAACAGTACTGTCCACCACCACCTGCCCAGTTCTGTTCAAGGGCTTCCACATCATTGCCAATACCAAGTAGCCGCATGCTCTGGAAACTTTGGTGTTTCCCAGGGTGCATTTGTTTTTGGCTTGTCTCAGACATCTGGCTGGCTGCCAGCAGCTTCTCCAGGGACTGGGTGACAGTCTTATTCTCCCAGTGTCTGGTCATCTGGCTTTTAGTTCCCTGACTTTGATAGCATGAACCTCTCTAGATGGTGTGTTCTTCTCCATCATGTTGGCAACAGAGGCCATGTTCTGTCTCTGCCCTGCCATACTGTGTCCACACAGTCATAGGCTTTGGGGCCCTGGAATTGTATGTGAAAATGGGGAGTTCAAGGCTTAATTCCTTAATTTTAATAAAAATGAAAATTGAAATGTTCCTTTGTGGCTGCCATGTACAAGAGGGGGTGTTGGGAAGATGCAGACATAGGTAGCAGTCACTTGCTGGTAGGGAAAGATGAAAGAGAAAGGCTGCTGGTCTGAGGATGGCAGGGGGAGCCTGGCCTGTGTATTTCTGTGCATAGTATGTACCAAACAGAAGCCTCATTTCTGCGTCGTCAGCACTTCTCAGACCATGTGGTCTCCCATCCTCAGTATAGTCTCAGCCCTGTACTCTCAGGACTGTTACCACTCTTCAGGTGATGTGTGTGTATGTCACTTCTACTCCAATCTGCCCTAGGCCTGAATGTGTTGCTGTCCCTCTGAAGGATCTGCATGTGTTTGAACCCATGTGACCACTCTTCTTTCTCTGACTGTGCACCTAGCTATCACAGCAGCAAGATGGTCTCCCTTCCCCAGGCTCATAGCCTGGTGTAGATGGCTGACCAGTGTGAACATAGTGAAGAGTCTGTTAGGCTGTGTGTGGTGTTGCAAGGACCTTGGACCTAGTGTGTTATGTTGGCTTGTTCAGGCTGCTAGAATGCTGAAATTATTGGGAAATGCTGGAATTTTCAGTTTATTTTCCCAGTGGCTTATCTTACAGGTGACATATCTTAGAGGTATTGCCTTCTGGCTGTGTCCTTAGTCCTATCTTGCCAGTGTGCCTTCTTCCTCCCCTCTTCCCTCCCTCTTTCCCTTTGTCCTTCCCCCTCACCACTCCCATTAGATTAGGACTCCACACTTATGGTCATAGCTATATTGGTAATAATTTCATCTTAAGTGTAACCCCAAAGCCCTATCTCAAAATGCAGTCATGTTAGCCTGAAGACCTCAGCACATGAGTACCAGGAAATCACTCTTGAGCCCATGGCATGGGCTTCAATATCAAGGTATGCTTACCAGTGGAAGTCATGAGCTTAATACTGGTACACGAGCACCTGTTATACCAGCAGAGAGGAAGGAGATGGGGGCATCTTGTGGTATAAGGAGAAGAAAAAAGAAGAGCGGAGAGGAGAGGAGAAGAGAGGAGGAGTAGAGAAGGGAAGGGAGGGGAAGGGAAGGGGAGAGCAGGATATGTGTGGAGAAACTAACCTGAGCTGATGTGTCCTAGTGAGAAGGGCATTCTGTCAGAAAGATGGGACAAATCCCATCACAGATCCAAGGTGACACAGTCCGGAGTGTCGGATCCTGAGTGGTCTGGAGGGTCTGTGGGCAACAGTGTCAGCAGGCAGACTTGGCGGGTATTTAATACAGCCAGATAAAGAGCAGAGACCCTACATGGACAGGTTCTGAGTGGCCACCCTAGGCAGAGTGCAGCTAATGCTGCCATCATGGTGACATCATCCTGTCTATGTGAAAGAGTCTAGAGATTTTAAAAATAAATCTCAATGGTTTAGTCATTGCATTTGAAACATTTTGTTGAGTTCCCACTGCCTGAGCCTTGGAGTTTTCATCCACAGGGCTGAAGCCCTTCTTACTGAAGCCCACAGTGGTTGGAAATGAGGCCAGGTGAGGTGAGTTATGAGGTCTGCCTCTCACCTCTGTCCTTTTCTCCTCCAAAGATTATGACTCCGATGCCATGAGCAGTTCTTATGAGTCATATGATGAAGAAGAGGAGGATGGAAAAGGGAAGAAAACCCGGCACCAGTGGCCTTCAGAGGAGGCCTCTATGGATCTGGTGAAAGACGCCAAGATCTGCGCTTTCCTGCTGCGCAAGAAACGCTTTGGCCAGTGGACCAAGCTGCTCTGCGTCATCAAGGACACCAAGTTGCTGGTGAGGAGCCCAGTGGGGCTGCACTGTTGGCAGTCTGAAGTACAGAATGGCAGCTGGTACTTGCAGATGCTACCACAGGGGAGGCCCAGCCCAGCCAGGCTGGCACCTCTGTGGGGAGGGCTCATGGTTCCCCCACACCCAAATCCTTCCCATCCTGCTGGGCCTGTGGCTTGTGTCAGTGGAAATGAGCAGTGTTGAGACTTGCCAGAAGTTGCAAGATAGACTTTCTCATTTGTAGTGAGTCAGTAAATTCCTCCCAGCCAGGTCACAGCAGAGGCCCCGAGCCTGTGGAGGCGCCTGGGGAGGGCAAAGGGAAAGGGCATTCTTTTAGAAAGCCTAAAGATTTCCAAAGTTTTTTGTTTTGTTTTGTTTTTGAGGCAAACAGGAAGTTGGAGTAAGTCCAGAAGCAGGGGTGTGGAAGGTACAGAACTCTGGCCACATGGTTGTCCCCTTGGGTGCTCCTAAGAAGGAGCAGCCTTGAAGACTGCATTCCTACACACACACACACACACACACACACACACACACACACACACATCCTTTAGAAACCATGGCTGGTCACTAGGTCAGGGGCTTTACTGCACAGTTTTTGCCTTTTGTCTTTCAAATTAATCTCAGGAGACAATTGCTCAAAAGTGAGTCATTAAAGCAGAGAAGCTGAGTTTCTGTTTCCACACATTTAGTGGAGCAGATAATACTGTAAGAGAGACCATGGTCCCCAGTGAATTATGGGTGTCTTACTTGCCTAGGCTCTTAGGACGTTGTATGTGCTTCATGTTTTTGCTCAGCTTTTTAAAACAAAGTGCATATTTTTTCCACATGTGTGGCCTGAATTTCTTCCAAATATAGAATATGCCAAAAATGATGCCATCAGGGATTTTAAAGCATGAAAAACATTAACACAGCCCTTATTTATAATCTGATGCAATAGCTGCAATATGGTGACATGTTATATAAAATATTTTTAAATGTACTCAACTCTTATGTGAAAGAGAGTTTTATTACCAATGTAGGCGGCCTCAGGGCTGATGCAGGGTCAGCATTTTGAGGCCCAGGTTCCTGGTCCCTGTCCCACACCCATTTATTGTCTTCCTCCTCCCCTGCTTTTTCTGCAATTTGACCTCCTCTGAGATCCCTCTCTCTGCTCCATGATGGTAATGACTTCCATAGAGACTAGCTTAATTGAAGAAATAAATAGAAAATGAGGGAAGACACTGTGTAATGCAAGATGAAACTTGGCTTTTTATTTGATTTTGGCTTTGTTATGACAGAGTCTTGCTATATAGCTCAGGTTAACCCCACACTCACTATGTAGCCTGGGCTACCTTGAGCTCTCAATCCTCCCTCCTCCATCTCCTTAATGATGAGATTTTAGGCAAGTACTACCACATTTGGCTTAAAGTAGTTATTGTTGTTGGTGTATATGTGTGTGTTTTATTTTCCTTCAGAAATAACCCATGGCTCTACTACAGATGTGAGAAAGTGTGCTTTTTCTTCCTTGCGCATCCTACCTGGCCTCCTATGGGTGTCACAGTTACCTACTTCATTAACTCCATCTCTAGGCCATTATTTCCATGCCCAGACAATTTTGCACCCACTCAGGCAGCTCCCTGAGACTGAAGCACCCATTCCCTAGCTGATGGGTAGCCCTGGGAGAGCTACATCCATTGAGGAGACTCTGAGGCCAAGTCACCTTTTTTTTTTTTTTCCCCAGGGCCTGTCTGTATCTAGTGCTGAGAGAGACAAGGTCAGCCTCTCAGGGAACACCCAGTGAGACCTTCCAGCTCAAGGGCCTGTGGGCTCCCTATGCATTTCACTGGAACCAAGTCCTGCCTCTTTGCCCTTCCTTGGGCTCTTAGCGGCAGGCTTGGAAGTGTCCTGTCTGGAGGCAGCCTGGACTTGCCTCTTCCAGGATCTCCAGACAGTCCTGGAGTTACAGGTGGTTGTGAGCCAACTGATATGGATGCTGGGACCCAAGCCTAGGTTCTGAACAAGAACAGTGTGTGTTCTTAAGTGCTGAGTCATCTCTGCAGGTCCAAGCATCTTCATTATTGCACTAGCTGCCCATAGTGAGTCTCTGAAGTTGCAACAAATCTAATAGTCCTTTTATATACCTCATATTCACATGAAAATAAGTGTAATGTTATGAACACATGCTAGATCAGTGTCTTCTTAGTAATGGCCCAGATGCTCTTTAGACCTCAGCTGGACTAACAGACACTGTTGTGTATGCCACATGTAGGAGGAGAGTGGATAGGCAGCAGACTGGATATGTCACACCTGTTAGCTGGATGCTGTGCCATCCCTCTGTCCCAGCTCCTCCTGAAAGCTGGCCAGCACTGGAGGCTTGGTTGTCCTGGGTTTCATCATTGTTTCTGGTATCTTGTCCTCATGGCATTAATTGGTCTGTTGTGTTCCGTGCAGTGCTATAAAAGTTCCAAGGACCAGCAGCCTCAGATGGAGCTGCCGCTGCAAGGCTGCAGCATCACATACATCCCAAGAGACAGCAAGAAGAAGAAACATGAGCTGAAAATCACCCAGCAAGGCACAGACCCACTGGTTCTCGCCGTCCAAAGCAAGGAGCAGGCTGAGCAGTGGCTGAAGGTAGGCTATCTGCCATGGATCTGAGCCATTTTCACTTCCAGTCCTCTTCCTGGGCTCTTGTTCATTTGATTGATAAATTGTCAAAAACTTGGGATATATTAACTTGGGAGTTTTGTGTGTTTTTTTAAATATATTTTGATTTTTCTCACATATGCGTGTGCACACACAGGTGTGGGTGTGCACGCATGCACACACACATGGCATGGCATGCATATGGAGATCAGGGAACAACTTGTGAAAACTGGTTCTCTGGTCCCCCCATGTTAGTCTCTGGGATTGAACCGAAGTCATCAGGCTTTCTAGTAAATGCCTGAGCCATCCTTTTGTTATTGCTGTTTGTTTTGAAGTTTTGGTTGTGAGTCTTAGCTTTTAACAGCAGAGTTATTATTATTTTTTTGGGGGGGGTAATGAACACTCATTGGTAGAATCTCACTCACCTGACTCCTAGCTGCTGGAGGCTGTCTGTCCCAGGAGGCTGCTCATCTGTCCTGCTGTTGTTTTTAATATTGCTTTGATTCATCTGCCCTTCCCAGAAATGAGATTTAAATGAGAGACCCTCTTTGTACTCTCTGTCCCTTATTCCCCTTTGGCTTCTCTCTGTCCCTTATTCTCCTTTGGTCTTGCTTACTTATTTCTTCATCCTGCCCAATTCACTTCCTTGTTTCTGATCTGTTTGGTCCCTCTGCTGCTGTGTTGTAATTTTGGTATCGGGACCTATCTTATTCTGTTCAGGCTGCTCTGCTGAACCGCCCAGGTTGGGGTGGCCTTAACAGCAGCAATTTACTTCTGAGCTCTGGAGGCTGGAAAGTGTACACCAAGGTTGCTGTGGATTTGGCCCCTAATAAGACCTTCTCACTGTCCTCATGTAGTGAAGAGGGGGGCGGACACCTGCAGACTTTTTATGCTATACCAATGGGCATGAATCCCACCCTTGCAGGCTCCATCCCATAACCTCATCACAGCTCAAATGCTGAGCCTCCTAGCATTGCTGTACTGGAGTTTAGGAGTTCATAATTTTAAGCCCTTGGATTTCTAGCTGTTTCTTTTTCAATTTGGAACTGTCTCTTCTACAGTTTTAAATTTCTCTTAAAATGCTGGTCTGGTTTTTATCTATGAATGAGATGGGCATGGTGGCTGTGACCCTGGCTTTTACCTGAACAGGGTGGGCATGGTGGTCCTGACCCTGGCCTTTGCAGGAGCTTGGAACCTGTTCTCTTGTCTGTTGTGTTTGTTCTATTTCTATGCCCGTGCTAGTCATGGTATTTAGGAAGAAAATATGTTGAAATAATGTTCATGGCAGCAATATTGTGTATTGCTCATATAACCATAGACCACTCCTTTAAAGCAAATACAATTCCACGATTCCTTTGGGTTTCCATGCTCCATGGTCTTGGGAGGTGATTCTGTAACCACAACTGCTCCTTGTGCCTTTAGGAAGAAACTGCATGTCTGTCTTGCCAAGGCTTTCTAGTTCATATGGCCTGTGGTGAGGACAGGGCTGGAAGGAGGTGACATGAACTTGGATATCTATGATATTCAGTTTAAAAGCCACTTTCCTCACTGCTGTGACAAAATAACCTGACAGATGCTTATGGAAGGAAGGGATAACCTTGGCTCACAGCTTGAAATTTTCATCTATCATGGTGGTGAAGGCATGGAGACTGGTGCGAGGGTCATCTAGAGCCAGCAAGCAGAGATGGATACTGGTGCTCAATTCACGTTTCCCTTTTTATTCATCCATCCAGGCTTCCAGCCCTTGGGACAGTACCATCCACTTTTAGAGTGAGTCTTCTCTCCTCAGTTAATCCTCTCTGGATACATCCCCAAACACCCCAAAGTTGTATTTCAGGTGATTCTAAAACCTGGCAACTTGACGATGAAGATGAACACACACCATATCTGGGGAACCATGAACCTGATTCCCCATGGCTCCCAGAAGCACAGGGTCAGACTCCAAGCCCATGAAGATGCTTTGTTTGCTGCCTAGAGAACCACACAGAGGTGGCCTGTTACACACTGTCAGCAGTGGCTATGGCTTTCCTGAAATTTGTGACACCCAGGAGGTCAGAGAGAGGTTTTTCTTGGTTCCCCTCCTGCAAGTCTCAGGCTCAGGAATCTCTCCTGGGGGTTTAGGCCGAGAGCTTCACTATGCTGTTGGAGCCCCAGAGCCTTCCAGGTTTACAGATGCTCTCCATCTCATTGACTCATTTTCTCCCTCCCTCGTGTGTGTGTGTGTGTGTGTGTGTGTGTGTGTGTGTGTGTGTGAAGCATGCCACATGTGCATGTGAAGACCAGAGGACAAGCTCAGATGTTATTCCTCAGGAACCATCTTCCTTTCTTTTCTGAGACAGGGCCTCCCACTTGTAACTGGCCTAGAATTCACAGAGAAGGTTAGATTGACTGACCAGAGAGCCTCAGTGCCACCCAATACTGTGGTTACAAGCACATAATCCTGCACCCAAATTTTTTATGTGAGTCCTCATACTTAACACCCTAGACACTCATGGTCTCCTAATCTTCTGCCGCGACTAGTGGTTCCATTTGACTACCAAGAGGTTGAGTCTGAGGCCACAGGCTGTCATGTTTTTCAGGGATCCATCCAGGCACCAAGGGATTTTTGGTTTGACTGAAGCTTTGCTCTTGAGTGATTGACAGCTGGCCCTTCTCTCTTTTAGCCAGGAGAAAGGACAGTTGTGTAGTGGGAAGCTTTCTTGGTGACTGTTTCTTTTTCTGGTTCCTTTCCTGGCTGCCTGGACTCTCCTTTCCTTGGTTGGTGCTCACTCTTCTATGGAGAGCTTGGTAGGATCCTCCTGAACTGTGGATGATTCCTGCTCACCCTCTGTCCTGCAGCCTTAGATACTCAGCCTGCTGAGCTCCGTCAAACTGCTATGGATCTGACATGAAGTCACTCTGAGTTCTTGAGCAGCTGGCAAACAGACAAGTGAAACTGTGTACTTCCAAGATGCTGATGGAGTGAAATAACCTTCACTTCTACTCCCCATGTGTGAGCTGCTTACAAACTGAGGCGCTTAGCTAATTATAGCATGACAACTCCACTCATGAATGGTAGTTAATTGCACGAATTTTAATTTTAGTATATTTCTTACAAGGAAAGTAAATAATACAAGGCAGATAATCTTTTTTTGAAGAGTTTGAATTGATTACTCTATTCAACACTTATGTTATTATTTCTGCAGTACCAGAGCCCAAGAAGTTCTAGAAATGGATGTCAAAATGACTGTGGAACACTCAGCCCTAATGGGGTGTCTATATCACCCCCTCAAGTTCAGGGAACATTGTGGAAGAGGGGGTGGGAAGACTGGAAGATCCAGAGGGAGGGTGGAGGGGCTTGCAAAGCCCTGCTCTCCTTGGGGACTTTTAGGTAAGGTCTGCCAGTAAGGAGAATGTGATCCCCTGCGCTTTTTCTGAGGATCTGTAAGCAGTTAATGGTTAACTGGGGTGGACAGGACATTTTCTTCAGCTGTGTACCAATTATACCATGCCAGTACTTATGTAAGTTACTACTCATATTTCTGTAGCTAACCCTGATAGAAGTTCATTAGGTCGTAAGAAAAAAAAATATGTAAGTAGAGGGGCTAGTTAGAAAGGAGGGGGCAACAGGGCAGGGGAAAAGAGGGCAACAGGGTGACTATGTGGAGCTTTTAAAAACAAGATTCTGACTAATTCAGATTGGTTGGGAGTCTAAAAGTCTTTATACTTTTTTTTTTTTTATCTTTCTAAGGCCCCAGATATTGCCCTATGCTGATAGGATTGAGACATGCCTCCCCTGCTTAACTCTCCCTTCTCAGGGAACTTCTGTTTTAGTGTCTAGAACCATGAGCTCCTGATTCTCCTGCCTGAGAAGGGGACAAAGAGAAGCAGAGTGGGGTATATACCTGGTCTCTTCATTCATTCTTAGATATGAACCTCCATCTGTATCATTTCCTTTTACACCAAAGAAAAGTTGGTGTTTTGTTTTAATGTGGGAGGGAATGGAAGATGGCTCAGTGGTTAAGAACACACACTACTCTTGCAGAGGAGCCAAGGTCATTTTGAAGCACCTATATCAGGTGAGTCGTAACCTATATCAGCTGTTGGTAACTCCGGCTCCAGGGGGATATGATACATCTGGCCTCCATGGTCATCTGCACTCATGTGCGTAGCGTATACACACACATAGGCACACACAAAGTAAGTTTTTTTTTTTTTTAGTTAAGTAGAAAATGTTTGAAAGCCCATTTCCTACAGTGCTGGCCTTCTGAAAATGGAATTCCAGGTGATATAAAAGCCACTGTCTTGCTCTGCTTCCTGAAAAGCCAACCCTGTCCAGAGCCATTGTTCCCAAGTTTGGTGTCACTGTCACTGGAACCTCTAAAGTTGCTTTATTCTTGGGCTTCCAGCAGGTGACCCTGTGGTATTGGTGCAGAGGGTCAGGCTTCCTGGTCTTTATCTGTCATCTGTCCAAAGGATGTGGTCTTTCATTGGGTCTGAAGCAGCTGGGCCATTGTTGTCCTTTCCAAGGATGCCTGCCCTTCTCCCATCCTTTGGCAGCTCCATTGTTCGCGTTCTATTACTGGATACTCCCACAGACTTGGGGTTCCCTGTGCTGCAGCTCTTCACCCCTATGGCTGTGTGCTCTTCATAGCTTGTCCTCACTGTTTTGGAAGCTTCTGGCCCACTGTGCCCTCATGCCCACTTGAATATGGATCCTAGTTTCCATTCTAGCACTTTCCCATCTTTCTCTGGATATCAAGTCTGTCTGAAATCCCATCTATCTGTATGCCACTCTCTATGCCATTGGCTATTTCAGCATTTCTGTCAAAGCTGTTTTAGTGTCTGGACATTCCAGTATTGGGACCATCTCTGGGATTGCTTCTGAATTTGCCCCCAGGAGATTGCATAGGCTTTGAAATGTGTGGAAGGAAACCACAGAGACTGCCCTCTGCCATTTCCCCAGAGCCAAGCGTAGCCCTGTGAGTCTCTTGTTGGGCATGGTAGAA